CACACCCCTTGTCTGCCCCCTCCCCTTCTGCTTACCCGCTGGAGGCTGCAGACTTACCATTTATCAGCCAAATTATCGGCCTCATAGGACAGATATCTGATATAGACAATTTGTTTCCAATCGGTACCGATCCGATATCGGACCAATGTATTTGTGCACCTCTAATTTTAACTTCAGCTCTGAATAAAACAGAGTTAAATGTTAATGGCACAGTTCATTCATATCACAAGGATGTGCAGATATAAGTTACGCTGTAACAGCGAGCCTCTCCACTTTCAAAGCAGTTGAAAGTTAAGTCTCCCAAAGTCTAAGACCCACCAAGAAAAAGAATCCAGAGCACCATTCCAGTCTTTTGTGTAGTCACTTCCTGTATCTTGTCTTATACTTAAGTATATTTAAGACAGAAGCCATCTTTCTATTCAGCACCTGACAGAATGGAATTCTACTCCCCAGCTGGGGTTCCTACATGCTACGACAATACATATCAAAGGAAAAAACAAACTAACAAAAGTTGTATTAAAAGGCAGGATTTTACTCTTCATTCTTATAAACCAAGGAGAAAATAAATAAACCAAGGGGAAAATAAATAAATGGATCTTGCATACACAAAATCATATGTGGCAGGAAGGAATAAAAAAAATTTTGCCTCAATGCAAAGGTGATGAACTAAATAGAAGTATACCATGATGATTGTTTTTCTAACCTGCTATTTTAAATCTGCGAAAGAGGTTTCCACAACATCCTTTGTTAGCCTGTTCTACTCATTGCCCTTCTGGTTAGACAATTTGGGCCCTACACTTCTATTTCATTGATGCAATTACTTCTCGTTCATCTCTCAGCAGACACCAGTAGGATTTAAAACACAGATTATGAAAGAAAAAAAAAAATCAGAGAAAAATAAGATAGTCACTTACCTTATTCACTTCTTCTGGATTTTCATCTTTGAAAGTAAGAAACTGAATTTCACATGATTTGGTTAAGGGCCGATACATGTCCCAGACCTCTCCATCCACAAGTGCCAATACTGATTTTTTGCAATGCCATTCACTTAAGTCTAAAAAAAGCAAATGAATCCCCATGAAATTACCAGCCTTCCTCCAAGATGGCCAAAGTTTCAAATTTTGAAAACATGCAAATTTCACCTCCATGTAGGTAAGTGATCTTTAATAGATCCTGCAGGTATTAAGCAACTACTTATTAAACTCCTACTATTTTAAACATGAAAAACTAAAATATTCTGTATATAAAAAAGTCTAGATTAGGGTTCTCAACCTTCATCTTGTGAGGTTATGTCATCTGGCCTTCCCACAGGTCTGAATATTTGGTGGCAGGGGGGTCGTGGCAGTGTTAATGCAGCTCCCCTACTGCCAAATTTCTAGACCCATGGGCTGGATGATGTGGCCCTACATGCTAGATTGTCCCAGTGTGCAGCAGGTCCTGGCACACAGAATCAAGCTGGCAATTGGTTGCATCCAGCCCGCAATATCAGACCACATGTGGTGGTAGGCCGATGCACAGCATGCCAGATCCTAGCCATGGACTGACTCCACATGCCAGATCCAACCCATGGATTGGCTTTGCAACACTCATGTGGCCTATGGGGCCAGAAGGCTGAACACCACTGCCCTAGGGGTACCCAACCTTCTGGCCCCACAGGCTAGAAGAGTGGTATGGGGCTGGTTCACTGGCTGAATCTCACAAAGGATCGGGGCATGGGATCAATTTGCCAGCCTAAACCCATGTATAAGGATAAGCCCCACGCCAGCACAATCTGACATGTGGGCCCATGGTATCCGACTCGTGGGGCCCCCCCACCCACAGAGCTGGAAAACTGGCAACAGAGGAATGACAAATAACACTGCCACTGCTCCCCTGACCCCAGACTTCCCCGCAGGCTGGATGACGTAGCTCTACAGGACAGATCTGGCCTACAGACCCAGGGTTGAACACTAGGCCTCTGCAAATAAGGAAGTATTTGGATTCAGATTCGGCCGATTCGGAGGACAGTGATTCAATTCAGAGTTTCGGATCACAGTCCTGAATCAATTCTTCCAAAACTGATTGGCCGAATCAGCGCTGATTCAGAGAGATTCCAATCAGCAGGGGAGAGGCAGGCACAGCTGGGAGGCTACAGCTTCTCCCGCGGCTCCTCCAGCTGTGCCTGCCTTTCCCCGGATGGGGGGAGCTGCGGGAGAAGCCCCCACGGCTGCCCTGCTCGGCCCTATCCCCCACCCAGCCCAGCCTAGTCCCAGCACTTAAAAAAAAAAAGCCCCACAACTCACCAGCGATAGCAGGGGCTCTGGGGCCTCTTGGCAGAGCCCTCCCCCGTGCATCCCCCGCTCCCTGATCACCCCCCTCCTGCCCAGCCCTGGCCCCAATGGCCCCCCTGCCCAGCCCCAGCAGCCCGGGATTAAAAAACAAAAAAACAAAAAAACAAAAAAACACACAAACACACAAACAAAAAACAACGTACTCACTGGCAGTAGCAGTAGGGGCTCTGGGGCCACGTGGCAGCCACTGGGTTGCTTGTGGCAGAGCGCCCCCTGCCTGGCACTGGTGCAGCAGCTGCCCCATGGCACAGATGCAGCCTGGCTCGGCAGGACGCTGCACGCTGCCTGGGAGCTAGGGCTGTGCTGCGCACGGCTGAGCTCCGGCTTACACGTAGAGCTGCCCTACCTCTAAGACAGCGTGCGGGACGCTGCTGAGCCACACTGCACCCGTGCCAAGGGGAAGCTGCCACACGGATCCAAAGTGGAGGGGCAATCCCCGCTGCCCTGCTTTTGCATGGGGGGGGGCTCTGCCACGAGCCCTCAGAGGCCCCGATAGCCCTGCACTCACCAGCTCTGGCAGCAGTGTTTTTTTTGTTTGTTTGTTTGTTTGGGGGTTTTTTAAGTGCCAGGAGGCTGGGGCCAGGTAGGGCAGCCATGGGGGCTTCTCCCACAGCTCCTCCTGCTGTGCCTACCTCTGCACCAGTGGGGAGAGCTGCAGGGGTTCTGCCCTGCTGTCACTTGCCCAGCCAGCACGGAAGGGGCACAGTTTAGGCGTGGCTCGCTCTGGGCAGCAGCAGGGCACAGCCTTCACTCCAAGCACTGCTGCACCCCCATCAGAGCTGGGAGTGGGGGCTGTGCTCTGCCACCGCTTGCCATCTGATGCAGGGGACACAGGATGCGGGTGTGGCAGCACTGGGAGCGGAGGCTCTGCCCTGCTGCCAGCTTTCCCCCTTCCACCTGGAGCAACCCGCGCTCACATCCCACCCCGCTCTGCCCTGGCTGGGCAAGCGGCAGCAGGGCAGAGTCCCTACTTCCAACACTGCCATGCCCACATCCCGCGCCCCCCACACCCCTCCCTGATTAATGTGCCCCCATACCCAGCTGGGCAGCTTGTCCCAGCCCCAATCCCTCCCTCCCTCCCTAACACCTCTTCCTTCTCCCTTCCCCCAACCCCAACAGACTTACCAGCTGGAGGCAGCTGTCAGCTGCCTATTTAGTCTATGGCCAAATCTGCAAAGTGGCCAAATCTTTTCCAAATCGATTCAGATGCTTCAAATAGACTCAGAGCTTTTACTTGGTCTCTCGATTCGGTTCGGAGATTCAGTACCTAAACCGGGCCAAATCCCCTCCGAATCAAATCAGCTACCAAAGCTTCGCACAGACCTATTGAACATCTCAGGCTAATATCATTATCTGTACCTTTATAACAGCTTCAGTGAGTTTTAATACCTCTCAAATTGAACACTAAGTACATTCATCAACGGTGTAATTCTGATACTCACGGGAACAGCCATAGCTTTTTATTTCATTTACTTACGCATAGCACAATTGTATGGCGTGGACAAACCCTTGTTCATTACAAACAAAGCGCCAGGGTGAGATTTTCCAACATATTTTACTTCAATCTTCTCAATTCGTGGATACAGAGCCAACTGTCTCTCTTTCTCTTTGTTAAAGAGTTCATTGCGCATCTGAATAATCTCAGCAGAAGACAACGGAGAAACAGGCATCATTGAAACAAACCCTGGCAAAACAAGTTAACTGGTTAAGTAACATATAGCTTTCCAAGACTTCTTATAAATAGATTATAAGGTATTTAGCTTCCTCAATTAAAAAAAAAAAACCCTGTGAGCTTGAGCTACAAATCCAACAAACTTTTCTCGATTTATACTGCAATGGCACTAATTTTCAGTTTGCTTTTACCATTTGTAACAATTCCTCGTACAGGATAACCTCATAAATCCAGATACCAAAAATCTGGAATCATCAAAAAATTGGCACATCCTCCCCTGCCACTCTGAGATCGGCCGCCACTTCTCCCCATCCCCCTGGATATGGATGGCTTGCAAGCGGCAGCTGCAACCACCATTCACCACCCTGCACCACCACAACAGTTTAAAAAATACAGCATTTTCAAATTTCTGGCAAGTGCTCAGTCCTGAGCACACCAGATCTACGGGGTTATACTGTATTGCAAAATGCCCCAGGTAAACATTCAAAAGTTCAAACATTTAAAGAATGTGTTTTGTATTCTTTAAATGCAAAGGTTCATCAGAGAGCTAATGGCTTGCTTGAAAGAGAACAAGATCCCAAGCACCATTTGCTTAACTACACAATGATGTGCATTAGAAAATATTTCTCCATGTTTCCAGTGGTGCTCAACTATTGGCCCTGGGAACTGCATCTCCCATGGGTCCAGAAATTTGGTGGCAGGGCACCAGAAGCAGCATTAATAGTCACTCCGACACATACTGCTGCCAAATTTCTGAACCTGTGGGTCTTTGGCTGAAATGTAGGTCGCTCTGCAGTCAGATCACACCCACACATTAACTGTGCTAGATCCAACCTGCAAACCAACCCCATGCACAGAGTCTGGCCTACAGCCCAGGCACACACTGCTTACCCAGCCAGCAAAGCCAGATAGGTTGCACACCAATCACTGCCTTACACCATGAAGTCTGATTATTTTTAGGTCAACAGAATTTACTGACCACTGCCAGCCAGCACCATTTCTCCCTTTGAATTATAGCATCAGAGAGACACAGGGTAGGAAGGGATCTCCAGAGGTCATCTAGTCCAGTTGTGCTCAACTTTTGTACCAGGACTCATCTGTAAATGTCAACGGCCAGTCTCAACCCAGTGCCCCTCATTCCTGACCTGCTGCCCCCCACCTCCCCAGTGTGTGGGGCAGAGGCGAGCGTGTGTTGGGCATAGAAGGCCCCAAGCAGCCCCTCACAGGCTGGAACTCTGCCAGCCTGCAAGGGAAAAAGTCAGAGTTTCCCATACTGTTCTCCTTTAAAGGAGAGTCCATTTTTAAAGTTGGTTCATGACCCTTTCATATATTCCTGTGACCCATGGGTTAGGAAATGATGATCTAGTCCAACCCCCCACCCGAGGCCTGATCACCCCTATATCCAAACCATCCTATTCAACCACACCGTTTAACCAATTAGCAAAACTAGGAAGCCAACCCCAACACTGAGATCTACAGAAGGAAGCATCTCAGCCTATGCTGTTACATGCTCCAGGTGAGTCCAGAAAACTGCATTACTGCCACCTTCCCAAGCCACCATTGAAATTACTGGGCATTTTTTGGAAAAACCAACTCGACACACCCCTTAGCATAGGCCTGCATCGTCTTGGCTTTGAAAGGGGAAAAAGCTAAAAAACACAACAAATCACTCCTCTCATAGAGG